ATTTCCACACTTATACAACTTGATTTAGTGCGCAAATCCTAAAAACTCTATGAAAATCGACCTACCGGTAGAATTTTCCCAATTTTGCAAACTTGGTACTGCAGAGTAGGCAAACCTTCCAAAGAGACTCGGTTTAAAAAACTCCTTATTCCTAAATTAAACCAGCCATAAATTTGAGAATCTCCGCACTTATGGGGCTCGATTTAGTGTGCAAATCCTGAAAATTATAGCTGAATTGAACAACCGCTTAATTTGTTTTTTAAATATCTGCTGAAACGTCCAAAATCCATTTTTTGCCTAATTGTAATTTTTTTTTCAGCTGATAGATGCCAGCTACCGAAGTAGTCCATCTTCCCAGACATTGGCTGTGATAGTTTTATGTTCAGTGTTACTCGGACTACTAGTTTTCATAGCTGTCATTCTAGTTTGGAAGTAAGTATTTGGAAAAAAGACTAATGATCGAGCTAATTATGCTCGTTCGTCATTTTTATGTGTTATTTTTCTCGGGAGTCATAGAAATATAAATAATTTCTATTTGGACATCTTGAAAGGTGTTAAATAACGGCACGTCTTGGGGTCTTAAATTATAGGCAAACACCAGGGGAGAAAACACTTTCAAGATGATGTCCCTGACAGTTATTTATCGCCAAGCGAATTTAATACTATGTTGCCCTAGAATGTCTGTGAGTTTTTACATATTTTATGATCATTTAAGGGGAATGAATGTGCGCGATGGAAAACGGGACAAAAATCAGTATGAGACATCTATTAGCATAATTCCGTTCGCAATCAGCAAATCCCTTGCAAAAAACCTCTTTTGTATTTTGCCTGGAAATGTTTCATTTAGTAGATGTGACGACGTCTTCCTGATGGATTAAGATTGCGGGATATAAAATATTCCCGGCTTCCTGGTGCCGAGTTGAAAACACAAGGCGCGGCGAGGTTTCTTGCATTCCAAATACGCATTATTTAAAGTAATTTTTTACTGCGCTAGTCGCAAAAAAACAGCGACGAAGCCAAGTAGGGCAGTTTTTCCGCTTTTGCCATAAATAAACATGATTTGGTCTCTTCAGCTGGTGCCAAAAGATAATCCAAGACGTCATTTGGCGCACAGTGATTGTGCCACGGGGCCGCAGAAGGTTTTGCTACAAATTTGTTGATTTGCGTATTTTGAATTTCAGTTAAATAAACTGGAAATTCGTGAACAAACCAACCGGTTGGAAAAACCTAAATGGTAAGTTAGATGCGAAGCTGAAAGCTAGATTATAACATTACGCGACTTGAACCGGGCCAAGATGGCGAACTTTATAACAATATTTTACTCGCAATCCCTGGCACACAGGGAAAGCGGAAGGAAAAAGTCGGAATTTATGACTAGTCCGTTTAACGTAAAACTAAAAGCTCCGCTCCGCTCGAAACTGATTTAAGTTACGTTTAAATGCTATTTTTGAAAGGAACTAATGGCCTGCAAGTTCTTGTCCTTTCCAAATGGCTCAGATTACTGTTATGAGAACGAATGAATTCATTTGATGCGTGACCATATTTTTCTTGCTTCTTCCACCCATTCTACCGACTATTTTATTGTGTAGAAACTGGCGTAAGTTCAGGATTAATTCTGGTTCTGATTCTCTAAGCTCACCAAAGTTGGCTCTAGTTGTAATGAAGCGCTAAACATTCTAATACTGCTGCCAGAGTTTAAGTGATATTCGACTGCAGGCCCTTTTTCAGACCCTTTTTTGCCGACAGATTATTATTGCCCTACTGGGTATTTCGCACTTTTTCTCATTAGTTCAGAGAAACTCGTTCTAATGGGACTTGTGGTCGATTAACTGAAGGTTTCGCAAGCATTACTGGCTGGCATCTTCAGAGATGGGTTGCTACAACTGCAAAAATCGGCCTGATCTGCCATTTGCTTGAAAGCTACTCGGTTTAAACAGCAAGTTTTCTGCTATTAACTGGCTGGAAAAGCAACTATTTTGAAGTGTGTCGGTGTGTTGAAGAATTTTTGGAAGTGTGTCGGACTGGCACGCCTTGGCCAGTTTGAATTGTTTTTGGAAAATCAGTCTACACATGGATGATATTGAAACTTACCAGTCGAGTAGAAAATTTTTGAAAATGGCTCTGCACGAAGATGTTTGTCAGACTCTCAACAGAAAGTTTGTCTGTTGTTTAAAAATCAACCCGCACTGCGTTGAGATTGAAAATTTTCCCATTTCTAGCCACTGATCTTGGTTACAACTGCACAAAATCCCCAAAGTCTAGTGGCTCTAGTGGGGATGTGCGGAATTTTAGAAAATGGCCCACCATGAAAGTTTTTGTCAAGTTGAGCAAAACGCTCGAAATTTGGACTGTATTAAAATTGAATAAAACCTGAAACTTGCGTCTCTGACTAATTACATGAGACACAAATAGCATAGTCATTGCGAGTAATAATAGGGTTTTTCATGTAGGTAACACCGACATTGCCATTTTGGCCGACACATTATTGTTGATGTAATGCGCGCAGTCACATTGCATTGCACATTAGCACATTCTGCAGCCACAAAACGCATAAATGGCATCGCGGAATTATAATAGACGTCGAAATTACGGAACATAAATCTGACTGGACAAGGGCCAAGCCCTAATCCCTTGTCATATCACATTTATTTAATGTCGGCGAAGCTTTTCATGTGCGGGATGGATCTCAGCTAATTTAAACTGCGCGCCCATAAACCTTCGTTAGCTTTTTCCTAGCTAATGGGACCGAAGCTGAAAAAATGAACAAAATCCCGGATAGACAAACGGGTGATATTTACAATTCACAGCGACCCGTAAAATATCAAACATTTGCCGAGAATCTGCTTCATTTTTCCTTTCAAAGGAGTTTCCATGCAAGTTGAGGCAAGAGAAAGCAGTCGATTTCCGCCACGAAATTATATCGAGTAAAATGTCGGGTTTTTTGGTTTTTTGGGCTAAACTGCATCTGAATTGCAGAGTTTCTAAAAGGGAATAATTTTTCGAATTTTTTTGTTTGTTTTTGGGCGGTCTAGACGGTAGACAAACGCCAGACTCAGTACTCCATCGCAATAAAGTGTCTCGATGTTGTTTTCAAGTTGACAAATAATCGACATTCCCATAGGTAATCAGGGCCACTTAAGCTACCTACTTAGTGATATGAGAAAAACCATGCACCCAAAGGCAAAAAACGTATCTTGAGTGCGCCGCTGCCACTTAAAACGATCCCTTGAACATTCCTTGAGTGGCTTAACACACGGCAATGACACTGCTTTGTTCTAAATTATGGTTTTTCATCACATAAACATGTCGGGTTTGCAGGTAATTAGCTTCGGAAGGAATTTCGAATCGGCTTCAAGTGGACGGCGGTGTGGATGATTATAGCACAGTTCGTTTGTCTTTGCAAAAGTATCGGGAAATGGCACGATCAACTGAAGTTTAAAATAATTAATTGGAAAACAAATTAAAATCTTAGATTTCGCACTTGGAGCGTTCAAATCGGATGGAGGACTTTGGAGTTATGCCGAGTTTTTAATGTTTTTGGCACTCTTTTACTTGTAACTCGTTGGCGGTTTAAGCGATTTCAGAACACTAAATAGCCCAAATTGAACCGATTTAATTTGGTAACTTTTTGCATTTGGAGCGTGGAAATCGGATGTAAAAAGTTTGGCGTGTTCAAATCGTATGGAGAATTTTGCAATTATATCGAGTTTTTAATGTTTTTGGCACTTCTGCTCGTAACTCGTTTGTGGGTCGAGCGATTTCAAAAAGTCCCATAGCACAAATAAGTCGGATTTAATTTGGTAAATTTTCGCATTTGGCGCGTTCAAATCGGATGGACAACTTTGCAGTTATGCCGAGTTTTTAATGGTTTTCGCACTCTTTTACTTGTAACTCGTTTGCACTTTAAGCGATTTGAGAACACTCAATAGCACAAATAGAACGGATTTAGTTTGCTAAATTTTCGCATTTGGAGCGTCGAAATCGGATGGAGAACTGCACTTATGGCGAGTTTTAAATGTTTTCGGCACTCTTTTGCTCGTAACTCGTTTTGCAAATTAAGCGATTTCAGAACACCAATAACACAAATAAAGTGGATTTAATTGTAAAATTTTCGCATTTTGCGCGTTCAAATCGGATGGAGAATTTTGGAATTACGGCGAATTTTGAAGTTTTTTTTTGGCAGTTTTTCTCGTACTTGTTGGCGGTTTGGGAGATTTGAAAACGTCCAATAGCACAAATAAAACGGATTAAATTTGCAAAATTTTCTCATTTGGAGCGTCTAAATCGGATGGAGAATTTTGGAGTTACGGCGAGTTTTGAAGGTTTTTTGGCACTTTTGCTCGTAACTCGTTTGCGGTTCGGGCGATTTCAAAAAGTCCAACAGCACAATTAAAGCGGATTTAATTTGCTAAATTTTCGCATTTGGAGCGTCGACATAGGATGGAGAATTTTGGAGTTACGGCGAGTTTTGAAGGTTTCTTGGCACTTTTACTCGTAACTCGTTTGCGGTTCGGGCGATTTGTAAACGTTCAATAGCACAAATAAAGCGGATTTAATTTGCTAAACTTTCGCATTTGAAGCGTCGAAATCGGATGGAGAATTTTGGAGTTACGGCGAGTTTTGAAGGTTTCTTGGCACTTTTACTCGTAACTCGTTTGCGGTTCGGGCGATTTGTAAACGTTCAATAGCACAAATAAAGCGGATTTAATTTGCTAAACTTTCGCATTTGAAGCGTCGAAATCGGATGGAGAATTTTGGAGTTACGGCGGGTTCGGAAGGTTTTTTGGCACTTTTGCTCGTAACTCGTTTGCGGTTCGAGCGATTTCAAAAAGTCCAACAGCACAATTAAATCGGATTTAATTTGCTAAATTTTCGCATTTGGAGCGTCGACATAGGATGGAGAATTTTGGAGTTACGGCGAGTTTTGAAGGTTTCTTGGCACTTTTACTCGTAACTCGTTTGCGGTTCGGGCGATTTGTAAACGTTCAATAGCACAAATAAAGCGGATTTAATTTGCTAAACTTTCGCATTTGAAGCGTCGAAATCGGATGGAGAATTTTGGAGTTACGGCGAGTTTTGAAGGTTTCTTGGCACTTTTGCTCGTAACTCGTTTGCGGTTCGAGTGATTTGAAGAAAAAGTCCAATAGCGCAAATAAAGCGGATTTAATTTGCTAAAGTTTCGCATTTGGAGCCTAGAAATCGGATGGAGAATTTTGGAGTTACGGCGAATTTTGAAGGCTTTTTGGCAGTTGTTCTCGTACTCGTTTGCGATTCTGGCGAATTGAAAACGCCCAATAGCACGAAAAAAACGGATTTAATTGGTAAAATTTTCTCATTTGGAGCCTCTAAATCGGATGGAGAATTTTGGAGTTTCGGCGAGCTTCGAAGGTTTTTTAGCACTTTTCTCGCAACTCGTTTGCAGTTTAAGCGAT